TGTGTGTGTGTGTGTGTGTGTGTGTGTGTGTGTGTGTGTGTTTAAACAGGGCTTGTACATTGCTTTATTTTTTGAAGTCTTACTATACAGAATAATAAGCTTGCTTATAAAATATTAAAATATCCATCTCCCCTCCTCCCATCAAATCTGCTTCCCCAATCAAATCCTCTCTTGCAGCAACACAATAACAGTTGAGGGAAGCTGTGTCTTTCACGGCTTTATTCTCTACATGCACATAGACATGCACTCACATTCTTTTTTACTTTATTTTTTAATTAAAAGATCATTTTCTTTGTATCTATCTTGTATATAAAATAGTGGAAGGGTAGTAATTGCCTTAATAGGATTTTTAAGGAAATAAAGTAGTGGTTTGAAGGTACCTAGTTTTCTAAGATGAGCCTGTAGACTTTTTCTTACTTATATATAGCAGAGCTTTAGAGGAAAAGTCAAGAGTTAAGAATATAAAAACAATCCAATGATTTGTTGGTGAGTAGCAGTTTTCTCAATCCATTGCTTCCACAAGCATTATTACACACATCAGACTGCTGCTTACAAGGTCAGCAGTTCAGACCCACCAGCTGCTCCATGGAGAAAGATGAGGCTTTCTGATCTTGTAAGGGTCGGTCACTGAGAGTTGGAATCAACTTGATGTTGCTTTAACATGTTATCATTCTCTGTAGTACGTATAATTTATAAAATAAAGTATCCGTCACTTGTTCCACAAAATATGTATTGCAATAAAATAGTTCACTACTGAACTGTGTTAAATATATAACTTGGATTTGACATATTGACTAAAGAATGTATGTGTTACAATTTTCCACACAAATGAAGTTTGTCTTGGAAACCTTGAAATTAGTTTTTCCTTTTTTTTAACAGCTATTCATAGTTTCAAATTGAGTCGAAACCATGTAGACTGGCACAGTGTTGATGAAGTATATCTTTATAGTGATGCAACAACATCTAAAATTGCAAGAACTGTTACTCAAAAGCTGGGGTTTTCTAAAGGTAATTATATATTATTATAATTCGTCAAAAACCTAGGGATTTGACTGTTAGACTTCCAAAATAAGACTATAAATTCTATTTTTAATATATTTTAGTATATTAAAGTTACTTGCAGTTACTATCCTGTTAAATAAAACTTTCTATTAAGGTGATAGAGTTGATATGTATTCATCAATGAATAAGATGTATTCAGAATGATCTGACATGATTAAGAAATATCTTGTATATTTCTAAAAGCAGGAAAGTGGTCAAATTGAAGCAAGGATGTCAAACTAAAACATGGCAAATGATGCATAGTGTCAAGAATGAGAGACTGAAAATTTCCCAACAGATTTAAAGATCATGGTTGATTGAAAATGGATTAATACAGTAAAAACCAGATAAATAGGATTGGGTTGAAGGTTAAGTAGAGGGTAAGGAAATGTAAGTTAGAATAGACAACTCTATAAAGAATTTTGGGGAAGAGAGAAGATGACACCTGGAGAAGATATGGGAACATTATCAATTTTTTTTTCATTTTTATTATATCTGATAAAATTCTCTACTGTTCAATTTTTTAATTCCTTGATAACAAATGTGTTTGGATATCTTATATGTTCATTAGTGTGTTGTGTTTTTCTATCTTGTGAATGATATGCTCATACCTTTAGCCCACTTTGCTAATTAAAAGGTTATATTTTTATTTTTTTATTAATAAGCTTTTTCTGAATATATAATTGATTAGCTTAATTGCAAGCATATTTTGCACACACAAAAAGTCCCAGTTTGCCATTCCTTTTTTTAAATCTTTGGTTCATAGTTTTTATGTAGAGTTGTTTGGGGTTTTTTTTTTATGTATTCAGTTAATCCTTCCATGTCTTTTTTACAGAGTTCTGGCTTTGATGTATTGTCCAATTCAGCATTTTATATCAGGGCCAATCAATAAGCATTATTTTACAAATTGTATTCCCCTTTCCTACTCAGTGAAATTTTTTCTTCATATTCCTTTTGCTTTTTTCTTTCAACATATTGTGGAAATGCTAATATTTCTCAGAATAAAATAGTAAACATATAACCATAATTTTTCTACAGCATCAAGTAGTGGGACCAGACTTCATAGAGGTTATGTAGAAGAAGCTACATTAGAAGACAAGCCATCACAGACTACCCATATTGTATTTGTTGTGCATGGCATTGGGCAGAAAATGGACCAAGGAAGAATTATCAAAAATACGGCCATGTGAGTTCTTTGATGAATACATTCTATATCTGGTCTAAAATACAAACTTTTGTCCAGAATATAGCAGACAGTAACAGAGTTTACTCGTTCTACCACATGTTTCTCTAATGCCAGGCACGTTATAGATCCTAAGTTACAAATCAATTTTCTGGATCAAATTTTTACAGTAATTCTATGAAGATTTTTGTTGTTTGTTTGGTTTTCCCACACCCCCATAGTTAGAAAGGGGATAAAGAAATCATTTTTAAACCTAGTGTATTAAATTCATTTATATTGAACTAAAGCTGAAAACAGGAAAAAATAGTTTTAAGTTCATATTTTATTCTCTAAACTACAGAAACTGTGAAAACAACAAAGTTGCATAACTTTGGAAAAGCTAAAAATTATTTAAAATGCCACTTAGCAGCTTAAACTGTTCAATTAATTGTACCAGAAGAAATTGAACAATGAATAGTTTAACAACACATGTCAGAAAGGTTATTGACCTCATTGACTTATTATACTCATTATGATTCTAAAACCTCAAGGTTTATTGTTTTGTATGATTGTGTTAAATGGAATTGGTTCTTTTAAAAGGAAATATTAGGATAGTAAGATTTCCACAAATTTCTTTAGGGCTTGTAGCCAGTATAAAGAAAATTCTGATCAGTTACAGGTTTATGTTGTGATGAGAACAAACCAGTTGCAGGTGAGAGGCAAAGTTTATCTAGCTCTGAGATGTCAAATAAATGTATTTCTTTTTTTCCCAACAGTTTTATTGGCACATAATGTATATATCATACAATTCAATAGTTCATTCATTCAGTCATATCAAGGAGAATTGTACAATAATCCCCACATCAATTTTAGAGCATTTTCTTTCCCCCCCTTCCCCCCAACCCATGGTTGAATCTCCTTTTAAATGCGTTGTGTAATCACAATCAGTTCTGGTGCTCTCTCCCCACTCCTGCATTCATTATTTACTCCCCAAATCCCCTTTCCCTCCCTGTCACCCAAACCCAGCCCTGAATCTCCTATAAACCCTTGTATGTGGGCCAGCAGATGGACTCGGGGCTCCTACTTAATTCTAGCCCCAGTTCATGAGCAGTTACTATCATTATGCATCCACTCCTGTGCTTCACAACTGGGGCACCCAGCAGAAAACAGTCAAAAGCAAAATTAGACTGATTATAATAATAAGATAATAGTAAAAAGACAGAAATACGAATATTGAGTAAGAAGGAAAAAATCCCCAACAATAATCAAAAAGCCAAGGAAGACATTTCTATTATGGAACAAGTAAGAGATATTGGCACCCAGAACAAATTCAGGTCAGGTCTATAGGGAGGTCAACTGGCCAAGTGTTGAGCTTGCTCCAGCATCATCAAGATCACAGTGGTCTCTGCCTGCTACCAAGGCTGTTCGAGAGTCTTGCCTGTGGCGAGCGCAGATCTGCCTGTGCAGCTCAGTCTGACTAGATACTCTGCAGAGGGCTTTTGGGCTCGCACTGTCCTCCATAGCTTTCTACAGATTGGGTGTTCATAGTTTTAGCTCTGATACTTTTCAGCATATTTGGATGTTGCAATTATCATCTAGATCACATAAAATGGTGTGCTGCTTCTGTGTAGATTTAGTTGGTTCCTTGCTTAGATGGCTGCTTGTTTGAATACAAGCCTTTTAAAACCCCAGACACTATTCCAGCTGATAACAGATCACCATCTGCTTTCTTTCCCACACTTTGTTGTGGCCCCCTTACCTTCAGTGATCATTTCATAAAGGAAAGTATCGAGCAGGGCCATGTTATCAGAACTAACTTCATGAATTGGGGCTAGAATTAAGTAGGAGCCGAGTCCATCTGCTGGCCCATGGCCCATGGGATTTACATGTCTCAGGGTTACTTTGGTAGTCGTAATATGACAAAATCAGAACCCTGTAAGACCAACTGCCTCTACAGCAGCCATAAACCAACCAGCAACCAAACAAACAAAGTGCACACACACCCAGAAAGAAAAGAAAACCCAAACTACAAGTAGGAAAGCAAAACCCCATATAAACAAAGAAGTACGTTGTTAGTCACCTCCCTGGGGTATAAGTCGATTACACTATTACCGTCATCCATTTTCCCAATGATCCAGCACTCCAAACACAGTTCCCCCTTGAGCCGCAACCCACAAGTTTTTGTCCTATGCAGTTTTATCTGTCATTCACTTGGGTTCTGTTGACCCCAAGTATGGGGATTCTTGCCAGGGGAACCTACCTGGATCAATTCTTCCAAGCGCAGATCCCTGCTCAACAGATCAGAACCTGTCGGGTCACGGCAAGGTGGGCATTGAGGTACTACATGTACAGTGATCCTGGGCCCCTTCCCATTAGACAACCCTTGAAGCTGGGGGTCCCTCCCAAGGTCCAGTGACCGCTACTTCCACATTCCCAGGGTGGCTACTCTCCTTCCTCTCCTATCCAAGTACCCAAGTTCTCAGTCCAAGGGTGCAGGCAGCTTCGAGACAGAGTTCAGTTCATTCAGCGGGGCCTCCGTGTTAATTCCTTCTGGTGAAACCCCTGCATTATGCCATGCTGCCTGCCAGGTCAGCCTCCATGATCATCATGGCGCTTAGTCCGTGGCAAGGTTCACTGAAGGTTGAGTAGAAATGTATTTGTAGTGTCTACCCACGATCTTTCAATCTGGCCTATTGTCCCCCTAGTTCATTGTTTAGCATCCCTTCCCGCTATGTGGTTAGTTTCCCCAATCACCCACCATACTCACCAACAGAACCATCAGCATCTCTTCCTCCATGTAGATGGTCTCCTCTCCTGGTCTTCACTTGAATTTCTGTAAAGCTGCTTCCATTCCTGTAGGGAGACCATTGATTTGCCCCAACCTGTTTCAGTGTTGTATTGCCTCAAGTTGATGGTTATCTCCCAATCCCACCCCTCTTGAAGGAGTGACCCCAGGCAATGTGGGGGCTCCTCCTTCATGTCGGCTCTTGGGAAGGGCACAAAAGGGAGGTAGGTGATGTATGGCTGGTAGCCTTCTCTCCTTTTGTTCAGGAATTGGTTCACAAGATTTGTTTAATTGGTGTTTCTTATAGTAGTGGACTCATACAATACTTGTCCTTTTTGATTGACTTAACTTCACACAGCATAATAATTTCCAGGTCCTTTCACGTCATGTGGTGTTTCATGCTTTCATCGCTTAATTTATGTATGCGTAGTATTCCATTTTGTGTATGTACCGCAGTTTCTTTATCCATTTTTCCACTGTAAGTGTATTTCTTTAGCCCTTCTAATGTATGGTACTGAGGAAATGGCATGGGGGCCATGCCTGACTTCCTCTGGCTTCAGTATGGACAAGGAGAATCCAGCTCCATACCAGCCCAAGACCAGTCTCAGCTCTACCTCATGGTTTCAGCATGGTGCGGCCTCTGTTGCCTCTACTGCTTTAGGCAGGGATCTCACACATACACTGCTGGGGGCTCTTCTTTCTCGATGAGCATGGAAAAAACAACTAATCACACACCCTGTGAGCATGATCCCACCCAATCTTTTGATAGCAGTCACAAAGACATGGATAGAAGAGTCGTATTTAAGCTGAAATTTTCACTTCACCACAGATGTATGTCCTTAACATATCTATAATAATACAACATTGGATTTTGTTTCACTTTAGTATAACATCATTAATTCCAACTGATAGAATAATGTAAAAGAAACATAAGTACGCTGATTATTATGAAGTTGTGAAAAACAATGAGGGAGGTTTCTATATACTATAATTCCTTACAAAGATTTTACTAAGTTGAGACAACTTTAAATGGAATGATTTAGAACAATAAGATCCATCTCCTCTACCCTGTAGCCCACCTGGACTTCAGTGCTACAAAAGTGTAGATTTGGGGTCTTTAAAATCATTAAGCTACTTCGACTCTAGCACTGCCATTGCGTCAATTCTGATTCATAATGATTCTATTGGACAGAGTAGAATTGCCCTTTTGGGTTTCCAAAGCTGGAAGTCTTTATGAGAACAGAAAGCCTTGTTTTTCTCCCTTGATTGATTTGAATTGCAGCCCAACACATGACCCACTATGCTAACAAGGCCATTAACAGAAAATAGTAAGTTACTGCCCTTTCAAAAAAAAAAACAACTTCTGGAACTAGAGGTGTATATGTGGCCTGATACTTAACAGTAGTTAAGTAACACATGCCTGCCTGTCCTAAAATATTTACACATGAAATGATATGCTACCTAGAATTTACATTAAAACATTATAGAGGGAGATATTACTATAAGGAGAGAGTATGAGAGTTTTGGTGGGGTGGAAGGGGGGAGGTGTTGATGATAGAACTATTCTATATCTTGTGGTTGGTTGTCGGTAACCACAAATACATTTAAATCGGGTTGTGTACCAGTTCAGTCAGGGCCAATACAATGAAATCAGAATAAACACAATTTTGTAAAATGTGTTGTACCAAAACAGGAAAAATTGTAAGTCCAAGCGTGGGAATGAGAGTCAGAGCGGCATAGTAGCCCAGAAATTGGATTCTCGCCGTGACTGTGGAGCAGGATACAGGGAGTGGTGTACTTTGCCACTGGCATTGAGCTTGGCACCACTGGCTCTGCGGACCGGAGATTTGGTTACTATGCAACATGCACACTGCTGCTGTTTTCTAGGAGGGAGCCTGGGTTTCTAGTGGGACACTGACCTGTAATTTTTCCTATTCTGGTACACTTACATTTTACAAATTCATACCTGTTACTGCTTCCTCTTCGTCAGCCATGACTAAACTGAGGAGAACACGTCATGTGAAAGCTTGAAATTCCTATTATGGCAAATTTAGGAAGAGAACATAGGAATGAATGTGTTCCAATGTTGCACATTACGAGTTGCACACTTATGTTGCTTAGTGTAGCAGTGATTGAAATATAATTGGACAAGGGAGAATGTTGTAAGCAAATGGAAATTTTGTGATTAAAGACATTTTGTACTCTATACATTGATATTCTAAATTACTCTGAAAATGTTTTGTTGGTTTCTGGGGGTCTTTTTTAGGATGAGAGAGGCTGCCAGAAAGATAGAAGAAAAGCATTTTTTCAATCATGCAACACATGTTGAATTTCTACCTGTTGAATGGCGATCAAAACTTACTCTTGATGGAGGTACATTTGACAAATTTTTACTAAGTTAATATGGAAATTTTTAGAAAACATTTACTCATTGGGGAAAAAAATGTCTTTAATTCAATTGTCAAGATATTCACTCATTATTCTAGATTATTTAAGAAACTGAAAATGAATCATTGGTTTAAAAATAATTTTGTTTACTTCAGTCACTTTAGACTACCATACACATTTCAGAGATTGCACTGTTATCATGCATGCCTGTATGGATTTTGGGGGGAGGGAGTGAGGACGTTATGGGAAGGGATCAAAATGTGTTCTATATCATTTAACAAAAAGGTGGCTTGTCAATACTGTACCCAAATTGTACATTAATTCCATATAAAAAATTTTCATTAATTCCACGTAAATCTACATTTTCTTCCTAAAAGTGTTCCTCCCCATGTCTGGAAGGTTAAATCTCAGGGGTTTTGTTGTTTGTTTCTTAACTGGCTCTTCATTCCCTGTACTGGTGAATCATAATCTAACGTAGAGAAATTGTAGATATTTAAAATCATTTTGTTTAATTCCTTGAAGTGGTGATGTTAGTCAAAATATACATATTTATTTGTAGAAAGATGTGTCCTCTGAATATTGAAACCATTAAAACAGAATACGTAGCTTAATTATTTACATAATCTGGAACATGGGGGAGTTCTACTGACAGATTAGCAGCTGTAGCACCTCCTTTGGAGTACCTTTCCTACGTGCCGGCACTCTGCTGTGCATTTACATAGCGTTTTCTCAGTCTTCTCACAACAGATCAGATACTCCACTCACTCCATTTACTGATGAGCAACTGAAATGGAATAAAAAGTGAATTCAGCTCAACTAAGAGTAGCAGGCCAAATCTAGATCGTTAAGATACTTGGGCCCATCGCAGTTGCAAACTGCCTCTCTCAGTGATTTCCACTAAGCCTTCCAAGTCTATGATTCTATTTCAGTAGCTTAAATCTGACAGAAAATTAGAAACCTGAGGGTTTTATTAAATTATGTCTTTCCTTCTCCTGTGCTTGAGGAGCCAGAAATGTATCTGGATGTGTGAGAAAAGCTCAAGAGACAGTGGTTTTTGAGGGGTTTGTTTTTTTTCATGTTTTTTTCTTTTTTTTTTTAAATCATTTTATTGAGGGCTAACACAACTCCTATCACAATCCATGCATGCATCCATTGTGTCAAGCACATTTGTACATTTGTTGCCCTCATCATTCTCAAAACATTTTGTTTCTACTCGAGCCCTTGGTATCAGCTCCTCATTTGGGATAATGTTTTAATTATACCAGAACTTTACTTAATGATCTGTTGCTGCTAACCCTCTTCTTTGGTCTTGAACAAGCTTTTGGTTTTTCTGTTTTTCTTTGTTTAGTTGCCTTTTGGATTTGATAAGCATTAGCTGACACTCTTGGCTCATGCATAAGTTCCATTTAGGTTTTCCTTTTATTGTAGTGAAAATATACATAGCAGAATATTCACTAATTCAACAGTTTCTTCATGGATGATTCAATGCCATCGATTGCATCCCTCATGTTGTATATCTCCTGTCACTGCCTTTTTCCTAATTATTCTACCATAAACTCAATGTTAATACAGTAAAAACCATCCCTGGTAATCACTAATAATCTTCGGTTGCTAATATTATATATATACATATATATAATCCTTTTATTAGTAACTATTACAGATATCATAACATTCCATAGTTCAATCACATCAAGCAGTATTGTTCAATAGCTACCACAATCAGTTTCAAAACATTTACTTTCTTCTTGAACTCCTTGATATCAGGTCCCCTTTATCCCCTTCCTCCCCCACGATGCCCCCCAGGATTATGAAGTGAAATCATACATTTGTCCTTTTGTGACTTGATGTATTTTCCTCAACATGTTTTTAAAGCTTATCTATGTGGGTGATATGTATCAGGACTTCATTTCTCTCTGTGGCTGATTAATATTCCATTTTTTGTCTATACCACATTTTGTCGATCCATTTATCTGTTGATGGACATTTAGATTGTTTCCGTCTTTGAGTTGTGAATAGTGCTGCAGTGAACATTGGTGTCTGCTTTGGGTGATTTTTACACAATCAGAATTTTGCCTTAAAATGCATTAGCAAGAACACTTTGTTCTATTAAATTGGCATTCCACGATGCACACCTTCAGCAACATGATCGCTGAAGACAAAGCGGGTGCATAAGCAAATGTGGTGAAGAAAGCTGATGGTACCTGGCTATCAAAAGTTATAGCCTCTGGGGTCTTAAAGGCTTGAAGGTAAACAAGCAGTTATCTAGCTCAGAAACAACAAAGCCCACATGGAAGAAGCACACCAGCCTGTGTGACCACGAGGTGTTGAAGGGATCAGGTATTAGGCTTCAAAGAACAAAAAAATAATATCATTGTAAATGAGAGTGACTGCAGAGGGAGATCCAAAGCCCATCTGTAGGCAACTGGACAACCCCCTTACCGAAGGGTCGTGGGGAGGAGACAAGCCAGTCAGGGTGCAGTGTAGCAACGATGAAACATACAACTTTCCTCTAGTTCTTAAATGCTTCCGCCCCCGACTATAATGATCCCAATTCTACCTCACAAATCTGGCAAGACTAGAAGATGTACATTGGTACAGATAGGAACTGGAAACACAGGGAATCCAGGACAGATGATCCCTTCAGGACCATTGGTGGGAGTAGCAATACCTGGAGGGTGGAGGGAAGTTGGGGTAGAAAGGGGAAACCGATTACAAGGATCTACATATATAACCTCTTCCCTGGGGGATGTACACAGAAAAGTGGATGAAGGGAGAAGTCAGACAGTGTAAGATATGACAAAATAATAATTATAAATTATCAAGGGTTCATGAGGGAGGGGGGAACAGGGAGGAAGGGGGGGAAATGAACTGATATCAAGGGCACAAGTAGAAAATCTTTTGAGAATGATGATGTCAGCAAATGTACAAATGTGCTTGACACATGGATGTATGTGTGGATTGTGATAAGAATTGTACGAACTCCCAATAAAATGATGTTTTTAAAGTGGAAAATGATATAAATATGAATAAAACAGTAATTTGTTGTTTCAGAAGAAAAAAAATGCATTAGGCCAGATGTTTAGAGACACCTTTTGTACATCACCTTTTCTGAAAATACTGGGTAAACTATATATATTGTTTCTGTCCACTTAAGATTTAAATTGTGGGAAAGTAATGGAATTCCTTTCAGAGAATTAAGTAAGCCCGTTCTTGGGGTTTGTTTGTTTGTTTGTTTGTTTGTTTGTTTTTACTTCTTCAGGATCTGGATTTAATATACCACAAGTAAAAGGTACAAACGACAAATCCTGTGGCCTAAGCATGATTAGAATTCAGATTAGTAGGCCTAGTTAAAAAAATCTATCCCAGAGTAGATGACAGTAAAAATCTATGCTTCATTTGGTCTTGGATCTTAGGGACATGGAAGAAGGGGAGTGGACAAGACAGAACAAAAAAATCTGAGAATTCCTTAGGACAGACTTCGATTTCCTTGAATTTGGATCAATAATCTTTACTTGGATTTACAGAATCTGCCTTCACTGCATGTAGTGGAGGACAAAGCCAAATACTTTAAAATGATCTCAGGTGACTACATCCTCAGCAACCTAGCAGAAGCACAGAGCTTTAAGAACACATCTTAAACTCAAGTCTCATCAATTTCCTATCAATGACATTCCAAAGAGCATAAAATCATATTTTTAAATTATTGAATACATAAGAAAACAAATCATTGTGTGCTTAGAGAGTACAAACTACATAACTTCACCTGAAAAGACCACACATCTTGAGTTATCAGATACAGATATATATTGATATATTTAAAGAAATTGGACACACTGTAATTATGATGAAGGAAAGGAATCAAACTGAATGGCCAATAGACTTGAGAGCCAAGAATTTTTCCAGGACTAAAAAGAAATATATATGGATCTGGTCACCAAAAAACAAAAATCATAAATGTATGTGCTCCTTATATTTGAGCCTCACCTGACACAAAAACTGATAGACCTGAAAGGAGAAATTGACAAATACATCACTGTAGTCTCGTTCTTTTAACACTCCCCATCTGTAATAATTGGAAATTAGCAAGGGTCTAAAAGCACCAAACAACTCAATATAACCATGTAGTTTTCATTGGTATTTAAAGAATATTTCCCTTGTAATTCATATCTATAGAATTTTTCCATTTGAAAATATTTTTAGCTGAGTGAAAATGAAAGAACATCTAAAACTTTGTGGAATGCATATAAAGTAGTTGTTTAAAGGGATAAGTATTTAGTATTAAGTGCTTATTGTTTTTAAAAATAAGAGCTTCAAGTTAAGCATCAACCTGAACAATTTGGGAAAAAATCGTATGAAAAAATAAACACAAAACAAGCAGAAGGAAGAAAGTTAGAAAGAGCAAAAATCCTTTTAAATCATAAACAGTAGAAAAATAAATGAAACCAAAAGTCAGTTCTTTAAATGTATCAAAAAAATTGATGAATCTTTAGGTTGTTCTGGGGGGGGTGGGCAAGAAGCAGAAATGACCAATGTCAGTAAATAAAAAGGGATTGTCAACAACCCCACAGATTTTTTGAGGATTTTATGTTTGTGACATTTAGGACCAGACAAGACTATAGAAGCAGGAGAACAAAGCAGAAGTTGTAAGCAGTTGGGGATGGTGGCTCATGTTTGACTTTAAAAGGGCAGTTTGGACATTTCATGAGGCTCACCTTCCCAACACAGTCGCTGAAGATGAAATGGTGCATAAGCAAATGTGAAGAAAGCTGATGGTGCCCGACTGTCAAAAGATACAGCATCTGGGGTCTTAAAGGCTTGAGGTTAAACAAGCCGCCATCTAGTTCAGAAGCGAAGAAGCACACCAGCCTGTGTGATCACGAGGTGTTGATGGGATCAGGCATCAAAGAACAAAAAATCATATCATGGTGAATGAGGGTGAGTGCAGAGTGGAGCCCCAAAGCCCATCTGTAGGCAACTGGACAACCCCTGACAGAAGGGTCGCAGGGAGGAGATGAGCCAGTCAAGGGTGTAGTATAGCAGCGATGAAACATACAACTTTCCTCTAGTTCTCTAATGCTTCTTCCCCCCAACTTATCATGATCCCAATTCTACCTTACAAATCTGGCTAGACCAGAGGATGTACACTAGTAAAGATAAGAACTGGAAACACAGAGAATCCAGGACAGATAAACCCCTCAAGACCAATAAAATGAGAGTAGTGATACCAGGAGGGGAAGGGAAGGGCATGCGGAAAGGGGAAAGTGATCACAAGGATCTACATATAACCCCGTCCTTGGGGGACGGACAACAGAAAAGTGGGTGAAGTGAAACGTCGGACAATGTAAGATATGACAAAATAATAATTTATCAATTATCAAGGGTTTTTGAGGGAGGAGAAAAAATGAGCTTATACCAAGGGCTCAAGTAGAAAGCAAATGTTTTGAGAATGATGATGGCAACAAATGTACAAACGTGCTTGACATAATAGATATATGTATGGATTGTGAGTTGTACGAGCCCCCAATAAAAATGATTTTTAAAAGAAAAGGCAATTTGTGTGTTTTGTAAGATGATAGAATTGTTCTTTATCCTGATTGTGGTAACCATACTTGTACTAAAAAGAAGCAATTTTTAAAATATTATATACACTTTTAAAAAATATATCTACCAAACACAGCAAACATCCTCATGCTCACCAGCAGTGAAAGCATAAAATAGAACAAGTTACTCTTAATCACTTAATGGTAATGCTTGACATCTTGGTCAGTGTCATAAAATAAAAAGAAATTATAAATATTTTTTAAAGATCTGTTTTTATTTGCAAATTGCATGGTTTTCTACATAGACTAGGTTATTTGAGTGCCTAGTTTAGCAAGTTTGTGAAATAGATCTATATGCGAAAGTAATTACACTTCTGTATACCAGCAACAAACAGAAAATACAATTTTAATGAAGAGGTGTCATTTACATTAACCAGGGCTTCAAAACAGTTCATGCCGACTAGAATTTGACTTTCCACCCTGGGTGTACTGAGTAAAAATCTTAACGAGATTCTTACATACACACACGAGTCATCTGTTCATATGTGTGCATAAGAATCACCTGGAAATTCTCCAGTTGGCGGGCAAGTGAGGCTCCTAACTATCCAGCCATTCTTCTGGAAAGGCTGGTCCCAAGCCAGGAGAATTGGGAAAGCACCGGAAAGGGCTTCTTAAGAGTGGTTATTCAGAGAATGTGGTTTTTTTAATAGCTTATTTTCCCTATAAAACATCTTGTGTAAGTTTAAATTTGTATTTTTTATTTGTAGACACTGTTGATTCTATTACTCCTGACAAAGTACGAGGTTTAAGGGATATGTTGAACAGCAGTGCAATGGACATAATGTATTACACTAGCCCACTTTATAGGGATGAAGTAAGTATTATACCTTTATTATTATTTTTAGAGTTTGATAGCATATGTCTCGTGAATGCTGAAAGAAAATGAAATATTACAGGCATCTGCTAATCTGTAAATACATACCCAGAACTTAAGAGTGAATTTGATCTTCAAACTAGCCCTCGGGACCCTTAGTTTAATGGATAATCACCAAGTGGAAGGTGGGTTTGAAAACAGCTATTTGAAGAATATCAGATTTCTTATATTTGATCACTGGTACATATATATATCTTATATTTGATTATTGATTATTGTCCTCACTTAAAATTCCCTTCAAGTTTTTGGGGGGGTTTTGCACATAGTAGACTGATTTTTATTACCTCATTTCTGTAATGAAGTAATAATGAACTTATTTAAGGAAGCTTCAAAAAGCGCCTGGATAAATAGGATTTTTATTTTTCTTTCTTTTTTTAAAAATCATTTTATTAGGGGCTCATACAACTCTTATCACAATCCATACATACATCAATTGTGTAAAGCGCATTTGTACATTCATTGCCCTCATCATTCTCAAGACATTTCCTCTCCACTTAAGCCCCCCGTATTAGGTCCTCATTTTTCCCCTCCCTACCCGCTCCCCTCTCCCTCATGAGCCCTTGATAATTTATAAATTGTTATTTTGTCATATCTTTCCCTGTCCGACGTCCCCCTTCACCCACTTTTCGGTTGTCTGTCCCCCAGGGAGGAGGTCACACACAGTTCCATGTAATCGGTTCCCTCTTTCCTACCCATTCTCCCTCTACCCTCCCTGTTTCACCACTCACACCACTGGTCCTGTAGGGCTCATCCACCCTGGATTCCCTTTGTTTCCAGTTCCTATCTGTACCAGTGTACATCCTCTGGTCTAGCGAGACTTGCAAGGTAGAATTCGTATCATGATAGTGGGAGCGGGGAGGAAACATTTGGGAACTAGAGGAAAGTTGTATTTTTCATCGTTGCTACATCGCACCCTGAGTGGCTCGTCTCCTCCCCGAGACCCCTCTGCAAAGGGATCTCCAGTGGCCTACTAATGGGCTTTGGGTCTCCACTCCACACTCCCCCCATCATTCACTATGGTAGGATTTTTTGTTCTGATGATGCCTTATACCTGATCCCTTCGACACCTCGTGATTACATAGGCTAGTGTGCTTCTTCCATGTGGGCTTTGTTGCTTCTGAGCTTGATGGCTGCTTGATTACCTTTAAAAAGGATTTTTAAATGATGGAATTTTTCCATGAACTTCTTAAAGCCCCCATTAGCATTACTGGTACATCATAAATAGAAACCTAAAGAAGTTAAGGGTGAAGGTTTATTCATTAGGTGAGAGTCTCTCTACCAAATGGATTCTACTACTTTATTGTTAAGTGAAAAAAGAATTCAAGAACTTATATCTGTTAATTGCCTAGTGTAAAAACTGTGATGTGTAGGTATGGTCACTATACTCATTTGAAGGGTGAAGAAACTGGTACAAAGAGAGATCAAGATTCAGCTGCCTACTGGGCATCTGTAGATAGGTGTCCCATAGACATATCAGACCAAGTCACTATCTTTTTCACCCTGCTTAAAAATTATAAACTCACTAGAAGGAAAAGTGAAATGCCATTGGATGTTGAGGAATGGCAAACCTACATGGAATTTTATTAACCTATAAGTAGAGAACAACTTGATATCAGGACTATAAAGTTAAATGTAGAGGCTAACATATGATATTATTGGAAAAGTATAGCGATGCATTTTCCAGCCACATTGAGGGAATAGGTAATACATTATCAACATAGTTCACCAAACTAGTCTGGGTTTGAAATAATGCAGAGATGTCAGCCTCCCAGAATCTGCCAAGCGATATCAGTGACTGGTGAATAAACCTCATTTGGTGTTTATGATAGGCATATAAAATTGGTAGAATTCAATACCAATTAGGTGTGATTGGTGAATGTCGAAGGAGAACTGGGATTGGAAAAATCATTTTATAGTCATCATGGCAAAGAGAGAAATGGGTTTTGCCACAATTATATTTTTAAAATAAATTAAAATTTTTTTAATTACATTTAAAAAAAAAAAAGGTAAGTATCCTCAAAGGATTCTAATTCTAGGGAAAGTTTTTGATGACCAGCTTGTTTATAAGGTCTTAAAGGGTATCCCCGCCTATCCGGTTTTAGTCAAAAGGAGAAAAGACAACTGTTGAGCAGCTAGGTGGTCCTGTGAGAACCGATAGACATTATTATGTGCCTCCACGTGGGATAGCCTCTGAAGGACTGAGCATAACGTAGTCTTCTGGCTTATGGCATATAGCTTCAGCCTGATAGTGAAGAAACAGCACACAGGTAACATTAGAGGATTGTATTCATTTAAAATTTAGCACAAAAGATAAAAATTACTGTAGAAAATGTTCTAGAGTAAAGGAGGTTAAAGAGAAGTGATAGCCAAATATACTATCTGCTGCTTCTAAACCATGTATCGCCTATAGAGGGACAAATGCTTTAAAGGACATTTTTAGTCCAACTGATCAGATTGGAACATGGATGATAGATTATATCCATCAAGGCCATTTCAGCTCATAGCAGCCCTATGTACAACAAAACACTGCCCAGTTCTGTGCCGTTCACACAGTTGTGTTTGAGCTCCTTGTTGCAGTCCCTGAGTCATTCCATCCCTCTCAGGGTCTTCCTCTTCTCTTATCTGCGCTGCTTTACCAAATACGATGTCCTTCCAGCGAACACATCCAAAGTATGAGACAAATTCTTCTAGCATACTTCTTCCAAGACAGAGGTGTTCGTTCTTCTAGAGTCCATGGGATATTCAGGATTCCTTGCCAACATCATAATGCAAATGCCTGAATTCTTATTTGCTCTTCCTTATTCATTGTCCAGCTTTCACATGCATATTGAAGTGATTGGGTCGGGTGCACCTTAGTCCTCAGAGGGACATCTTTAAACTAAAGAGGTCTTTTGCAGCAGATTTGCCCAACACACTACATCATTGGACCTCTTAACTGCTTCCTCCGTGGACATTGGTTGTGGAGCCAAGTAAAGTGATGTCCTTGACAACTGCAGTCTTTTCTTGGTTTATCTTGACGTTGCTTACTGGTATCGTTGTGAATATTCTTTTCTTTATGTTGAGGTACAATCCGTACTGAAGGCTAGAGTTTTTGCTCTTCAACAGTAAGTGCTTTATGTCCTCTTCACTTTCAGCAAGCAAGGTCATGCTATCACAAATCACAGTAGTCTAGCTTCTCAGATTATTTGCTGGTCATACAATTGGAATAAATGTGATGACTACATTTCCTGATTTTAAACAATGTACTATCCCTTTATTTTGTTCAACCTACTGCCTCGTGAGCACAAGAAATGTTCTGGAATTTCCATTCTTTTCAACAGTATCCGTAGTTTGTTACAATCCACACAGTTGAGTAATACCTTTGTATAGTCAGTGAAACGTAGTAAATATCTTACTGCTATTCTCTACTTTCCACTAACATCCATCTGATTTAGGCAATGATATCTTTCATTCCTCATATGTTTCTGAATCGGCTTGGATTTTTGGCAGTTTACTGTTGATGTACTATTGCAAGTTTTTATATTGTCTTTAGCAAAAGTTTATTTTGGGGTAATATTATTGATACTGTTCAATAATCTCTGCATTCCCTTGGGCCATTTTTCTTTGGATTGCTACCACTGTAGATCTCTTCCAGTTATTGCTACATAGCTATCTTCAAATGTCTTGGCATACATGAGTGCACACCTCCAGCATTATATCCATTTGTTGGATGTAATATCAGTTGATATTTTGTCAATTTCTGAAGCTTTGATTTCACAAATGCATGCATATCAATACATAAGCCTACAGATAAACCTTTACGTGCATGTTCACTTACTCCCATATGCCTTAATGTACACATAGATGCATCGATATCTACCTGTGTAACCATACACTTATTTTTTGGTCATTTTTACTGTTGTAAAATTGATGATTGGTAAAATGCCATTTTTCTCTTTAATTTATCATTCCCAGAAGAGAAAGGCATATGAGTGTATGATTCAAAAAAGTCAATCTGTCTTAGAATTTTCCAATTCATTTTTGACAGCTTCTAGTTTTCCTTTTTTCATACTTCATATTTCACGTTGGTATTATTAATGAATGTTTGCAAACATGTCTTCTCATTTTCAGTTATGCCACATCAGAAAATGAAGGTCCTGAAAGCTGTGCCCCATCTATGTAATTAAGGTCACTTCTGTTTTGAGGAGGCAGCTCTTCCCTAGCTGTATTTTGAGTGTCCACAGCCTGAAGAGCTCATCTTCAAACATAATATTCGACAGAGTTCCTCTGCTATTGAGAAAGTTTTCTCTGCCGGTTATTTTCAGAAGTAGATCACTGGGTCCTTTTTGCCAGTCTGTCTTTTCTTAGTCTGGAAACTCCTTTAATATTCATCCATCTTGGGTGAGGTGACCCTGCTGGTATTTGAAATACCACTGATATACATAGATAGCTTCCAGCATCACAGCAACACACAAGTCACAAAAATAGGACAGACTGACAGATGTATGGTGGCTTGGCTCTTACAGCACTCTTGATCAAGTAACATGAGAAATTCAGAAAGAACGAGGCATATATGTCTGAACTTTATTTTCAATGACTTTTTAAATGAAAGATTATAAAGACAACTGCCATAGTCTCATCTTGTTATTGTTATTGGAAATTACTTAGTTGGTGTATATGACAGTTTCTCTAATTCCTTTATGTCATTAAAATTTCTAAAAGCAGAGAGAAAGACAAAGGGCTAATTGTATTTCTCAACTTCATTTTATGTGTTTGGATTCACTCTTGAAAATGCTTTTGTTCCCCTTGAGTTGAGTTTCTTCAAAAATTTAAACTTTGGGGCAGAGGTAATGAAAATTGAAACTTTTTCGTAGAAAATCTTGAGGTGCTATAATGAAAAAGGCTTAGCTGACTTGGTAAGATTATAAAGGTAATAAAACTAAGATCACAGAAAAGAAAAGGAAAAGGGAAAAAAGAAAAATCCTTGATTAGCGTAGTCATTTTAGTTATAGAGTTGAAATTCATCTTTCGCTATTGAGTAGGTGATTTGTTGTAGCGTTGTGAGATCGTAGTAAGCTATTTAAAATTCTTTCAGGTTCTTAATATCTTAATCATAAATGTTCCATATGCATAAGCTATCAACAATAAAAGAAAATGTCATTATATTTATATCTAATATGGTAATAAATAGGCCAGTTCTATAGACATATATAATTATCAAAACACCTGAAATCATCAACCCTTCAGAAATTGTCCACAGAATATTCCATTTTATATTAGAATGAAATATTTTGACATCAGATAGGCTTTATATGTCTTAGGGATTTATCCTTTTGTTGGTTTCCATTGTGCTTACTATACTAATGAAATTTTCAATATATTGGGAGACCTGTTAGAATATTTTAATGTAAAGTAGATTAAGCTAAAAAAAAACCCCTCACTGACATTGACTTGATGCCAACTCAATAGGACAGGGTAAAACTGTCTCTATGAGTGTCCAAACCTGTAACTGATTATGGGAGTAGAAAAGCCCCATCTTTCTCCCACAGAGTGGCTGCTGGTTTCAAACTGCTGACCTTATAGTTAGCAGCCCAATGTGTAACCAGTATGCCACCAGAAGGATGTACTGTCTTTTTTTTTTTTTTTTTCAATTTTGAGAGTTTGTTTTAAAAAAGTATATTGAGTATCTTTTGTCAGAGTACTTAAATATACATTATTAAAATTAAAAGATAATAGAATTTCCCACCAACTCTTTGAAACCATCTCATTTACCTTTTTGTAGTTCTACGTTTAAATGGTATATATCTTAAAATCAAAGTCTTTGAAAAGCAAAACTGCTAAAAAGTGCACTTTTTAAAAGTTTACTTTAAGCATTAGCTTTGTTTCTACTTCCCCTAATGTAGATTGCATATCAGGAAAGTTGCAAAATGTTAAGGCTAATTTATAGTCTTATAACCAAATGCAAAGCATTATCTTACATTTCCTCATGTGGTTTCACACCATACTGCATACTCCTTAAACTATATTGACTAGAATTTTACCTTCAAACCAACATATTTGCCACTATACAGTTGCTAAAATGTGTTTCCTGACCAGCAGCATCAACTTCTTCTGGGAACCTAATAGAAATTCTCAGACCCCACCCCAGACCAGACTTACTAAAGCAAAAACTCCAAGAGGCCTTTTTACCAATTGCCATCAAATCCATTCCACCTAATGGGAACCCATGTGTATTAGAGTGAATTTTCAGTGGCTGGTTTTTCAGAAGTAGACCACCAGGCCTTTTTCCCAAGATGCCTCCAGGTGAACTGGAACCTGAGTACATTGTCCAATTGCGCCACCTAGGGATGCAATGGGGCCTAGCAATGTGTATTTAACAAGTCCTCCAAGCGATTCTCACGCACACAAATGTGGATGAATTAGTGCACTTAAGGCATGGAATTCTTTTGCTTTTCCTGGGAATAAAAAAAAATTTTTTAAATGTTCATCAAACAAATCGTCTGAAGTTATGCCTAGAGGAAAATCAGTGTTTCATCTTCCCATGTACTAACAGTTTGTCTTGTTCTTCTCTTCCTTCATTGTCTGAATACATTTCACCAGACACGATTCATGGTTGCAGTAGCTTTAGACCTCAGTATTGCATTGTAGAGCTCTGAGATACCAATGTAGGGGGCACTATGCCTTTTTTCATGTCACTCTAACCCTGTCCACCATGAGGGGCTAAAATGATTGTCCTTTATTATCAGCAGGTAATAGCAGGAATCTAGTCTCTTTCGAAATAATAATATTAAAAATTGAAGCAACATTTAACTGGTAATTTGTATATCAAACTAGGAACTGGCACATTAAATACCAAAATGAGAAATTGGATATCAAACTGGAAATGTATGACTAAAAAGTAATGGGAAATGTTAAAGCTGTCCTAACTCTCGAAATAGGCCTCCATATGGATTTAAGTAACAAGCCATATTCTTCTGCCACTAATGGAATATTTCAGTAAAATTTGTTAAATCAAAATTTAAAAAAAAAACCCACGCAGTTTGTATAGAAAAATGACTAAGAAACTTCCTATATTGTTAGAACCTCTAATCTTTTAAACACACATACAACACACACCTGCTTGTCAGATGTAAGAAACAGCTTTTTCTTCATACCCTTATTACCCATATAAGATTTTGGAATATCAAGTGGGTCAACATTAAGTTTTTCTTCAGTCATGCAATGGCTTTTAATTACAGTACTCTATCTTAATGTATTACGTAGATTCACTGATGTGGTAGTGTGTATATACAAGTATTAACATTAAACTCATTCTTTTTCTGAAATTTACTATGGTTTAAAGACCAAAAGATAAGAGAAAAATTAGAATTACATATGGTAAGGTACACTAAGAAGAAATTTATAAGTGTACTTTAGAAAACTTACTGGAATTTTCAGTATTAATCTATGGAATTATATATACCCATTTCTCTCTTAGGAAGTCCTGGTGGCATAGTGGTTACAGGTTGGGCTGCTAACCTCAAAGTTAGCAGTTTGAAACTACCAGTATCTCTGAGGGGGGGAAATGAGTCTTTCTACTCCTGTAAAGAGTTTCAATCCTGGAAACCCACAGGGGAAGATCTACACTGTCCTATAGGGTCATGATGAATCAGAATTGATCTGATGGCAGTGAGTTTGGTTGGTTTGTTTTTTACTCCTCTCTTATAGATATGGTTTGATTCCAAAGACCAAGTTGTTATGCAAAAATTGGCATTATGTGAAAATGGAAGATAACCACATAACTTCCAAATGACAACATCGTGTAACTGCCAAACCACTGAAAACTACAGCTCAGCCAAGTTGACACACAACCATAACCATCACAGACTAACTCTGGCATTGCACCTCAGCACTCACTACTTCTAGACGTACTTCATTCATGTGTGAAATAGTTTGGGTTTTTTTTTACTATTGTAAATGAAAAATGTCAAGTAATGAGATTCTAGATAAATGAGGGTGGATGTACTTGGTTTAAGGGCTATGCAAGGATTTATATGGGAAATGTCTGCCTATATTTTAGCAATGATTTGGATTACAATGATAAGTATAAGCCCACTACTGGACAAGCCAATTCTCATTCAAAGCCACCCTATGAATTGCTCCCCCAGGGCTTCTAAGGCTGTTACTGGAAGCAGACTATAACATCTCTCTGCTCGAGGGGCTAGGGGTTCCAACCATTTAGGTAGCATCCTCACTGTTAACCAGTGTGCCATGAAGGCTCCTTAATATTATGTGTACCTGACTTCATTCTTGTAAGGTATTGAGGCATATATTTTTCCAGGAATGTCTGGGTTTGCAGTAGTCAATGATAAATCTAATATAGTAAAAATGTTGTTTTATTCCAAACAGCTAGTTAAAGGCCTCCAGCAAGAGCTGAATCGATTATATTCCCTTTTCTGTTCTCGGAATCCAGACTTTGAAGAAAAAGGGGGTAAAGTCTCAATAGTGTCACATTCTTTGGGTTGTGTAATCACTTATGACATAATGACTGGCTGGAATCCAGTTAGACTCTATGAGCAGTTGCTGCAGAAGGAGGAAGAGTTGCCTGATGAGCAATGGATGAGCTATGAAAAGCGACATCTGCTTGATGAGCTCTACATAACAAAACGACGGTAAGAGAGCCTGATCTTTAAAAAAATGTTCTCGAGGACCTAATGTCGGGGGTTTAAATGGAGAGAAAATGTTTTGAGAAATGATGTACAAATACGCTTTACACAATTGATGTGTGTATGGATTGGGATAACAGTTGTATGAGCCCCTAATAAAATGTTTAAAAAAATTAAATAAAATAAAATAAAAGATATGTTACATTAAAAAAAAAAAATGTTCTCATGAACTTCAAAGGGGAAAACGTAAGGGTTTCATGTTTAAAAAAATATTGTTCAGAATACAATTCATAACATCTAATTAATCCATAAAAGTATTCTTTCATTTTCATGTTAATTGCATGTGATTTTCTTATAACATAAAATAAATTGGGTTTTTTTGTAATTTTACTAATTCTTAGAGGTAGATTCTAGCTGTTTTTACTCTGGGGATTATTTTTAAACCCTTTTCATTATTCTTGGCAAATATATTTGATAGATTTTATCATTATTGGATCTTAGAGGACTTGCTGGTACTCTTTTCAGTCTTTGCTGTATTCTTATACCCATCTATAATTATATACTCTTTGTTGTCCTCTCGATGACAGAAATTCTCCTCAATCTAATAAAACCATAAAAATCATATAGTTTTATATATTTGGCATTACATAAAAGCAGCCAGTTAAACTTATTTTAAAATGTTATTCTCAAATAGCCTTGGTTTTATTTAAGTTCAATAGGATAAATAGATAAATTTTATAGTGTTAACGTAGTGGATAGTTTTTAAGGAACCTTGCATGTTTGGCAAGCGTTAGGAGCATTTTAGATGTATAAAATTCACTAAAAATTTTTTTTAATAGGCTTAGGAAATGAACTGTTCTTTTTTTTTTTAACTTAGGTCCAGTTATTTAATGTAAATAGATTTTAAAAATTATAATGGGAAAAAATACCAGAATAGTTGCAAGTTCATCAGGGAGGGTTAATAAATTATGGTTCATCCATATGCTGGACAGTGGTAGTAATGATTGAAATAAGTCAAAAAAAAAGAATGTGTTTGGTATTAACCACTTGGTGTCATTTTTAAAACGATATGTATACATTTTGTTTGTGCCTTACATTTTACTGACGGGTCCCTCCACAAAGCAGGTAGGTATTTCTGATGAGCCCTGGTGGTGCTGTCAGGTGACTGTGGCACTGCTAACACTGCAAGGTTCCATGTCCTGGGGGAGAAAGATGAGACTGTCTATGCTCATAAAGGTTTACAGCCTCAGAAACCCTGTTTAGGGTTTTCAGTCAAAGACTCAGTGGCCATGAGCTGTGGGTAGTGATACTCTTAACAATAATTTTGTAAACTTCAGTAGACTTTATATGTTATAGCAGGTACGCTTGTTAAATACTGTCAATGGGCATTATTAATGTGAGAGAGGGAATAATGAGTCAAATTTTTAACAGTGAACAAAATAATAAAATTACAAGTGTGTGTGTGTGTGTGTATAAAATTTTGTATTGTGTCCTAGGCTGCAGGAAATTGAAGAACGACTGCATGGATTGAAGGCATCATCTGTGTCACAAACACCTGCCTTAAAATTTAAAGTAAGAAAAAATATATAAGGAGAGAGTGATGAAATGTTTGTCATTGAGCTCATCGACTCTTTTTACCAGACTTAATTTTGCAGCCATATACAACTATTTATTTTCTCTAAACTAAGCTAGCTACCTTCTTTGCTGACTCTTCTTTAGTTTTAGTTTGTGTGTTTGAGTCTGAAAAATTCCAACCCCAACTGTGAGATTTCTTTTCTTCTTTTGTCAGTGCAAATGCCACTGCCTCTCTAAAGAACTCAGTTGGAATTAACATTCCTTTCTCTGCTATCTTATAACACTTTTTTTCCTATCGTATGTACTTATTCTTCTGTCCCCACTAGAAAGGACTGTGCCTTATTGGCCTATATGTTTCACAGCACCCAGCATATTAACCCAAAATGATACTGTAATAAACTTTTGATTAGTATATAGAAACATGCACACCGATTGACCTGGTCTTTTTTCTCATTGTCTTCCTTTTCTTCTTCTCATTCTTCATAGTGTTATTAGATTTAAAGATACAGAAGTTGCTCCTGGAAATAGTTCCATACAATAATTTAGATATACCTTCTGAACACAGTTATTATTTGCAAATAATTTTATTTTACCATATATAAAGGTGCTTCAAAAGTTCATAGAAAATTTTAAAAGATGATGGAATTTTTCCACAGATTTGTTGATGCATTCTCATTATGTTTCCAAATTCTTTGAGAAATGAGACTTAACAATATTGATAATTGAGGATTTTTATCATTTTAGGTTGAGAATTTCTTCTGTATGGGATCTCCACTAGCAGTTTTTTTGGCCTTGCGTGGCATCCGCCCAGGAAGCAGTGGAAGTCAAGACCATATTTTGCCCAGAGAGATTTGTAACCGGTTGCTAAATATTTTTCATCCAACAGATCCAGTGGTGAGTTGAGCTTAGGAAAGTCTTTCCAAAAGTTTGTGGGGAAAATCCATTACCTTAAATTTTATTTTTCCACAAGCTTTTTGAAGCCCTTTCATAAAGACATTTTTCTCTCAATATGAAATTGTTCTTAGAAGATTCTAGGAATAAAAAATACCTTGAAAGGTATCACTGAGTTGAATTAGAAAGATATTTAATTATCTGATTTTATTTACATTTATAGTCTTGAAACATTTTGATTAATTTAAGGCTCATGAAGTAATATTCATATTTACGTTGTACAGACTCATTTAAGAGCATGCCAAAATTTAAACCCACTGCCGTCGAGTTGAGTACAACTCATAGTAAATCCTATAGGACAGAGTAATCTGTATTTTAATTTAATATAAGTCCCTCGTCCTTAGGGTTTGTGAAACTAGATCATTACAGGAGCTGACAGTTCATTTTTCTCCCATCGAGCAGCTAGTAGGCTTGAGCTTCCAACCTTGCAGTTAACAATCCAGTGCTTAACCCACCACACCTTCAGGAACCTTTGTAAGGCCATAGTGTAAAGATTTTAACGTTGTAGACTGCTTTATAGAAAAGTATTTTATGGCCCTGCCCGGCGCCGCCTGCCCAGTGCTCCTCCCAGCTTGAGTCCGGCCCCCTCTGCCCTTGCCCTTCCGTGCCGAAACGCCGCCAACATGACGGAGAAACTGCCCTACAAAGTCGCTGACATCAGCCTGGCCGCCTGGGGACGTAAGGCTCTGGACATTGCAGAGAACGAGATGCCTGGACTGATGCGCATGCGTGAGATGTACTCCACCTCCAAGCCGCTGAAGGGTGCCCGCATTGCCGGGTGCCTGCACATGACCGTGGAGACAGCTGTCCTTATTGAGACCCTTGTCGCCCTGGGAGCTGAGGTGCAGTGGTCCAGCTGCAACATCTTTTCCACCCAGGACCATGCAGCAGTGTATGCCTGGAAGGGCGAAACAGACGAGGAGTACCTATGGTGCATCGAGCAAACGCTGTACTTCAAGGATGGGCCCCTCAACATGATCCTGGATGACGGCGGCGACCTCACCAACCTGATTCACACCAAGTACCCACAGCTCTTGTCGGGCATTCGGGGGATCTCTGAGGAGACCACGACCGGAGTCCACAACCTGTACAAGATGAAGGCCAATGGGATCCTGAAGGTGCCTGCCATCAACGTCAACGACTCTGTCACCAAGAGCAAGTTTGACAACCTCTACGGCTGCCGGGAGTCCCTCATCGATGGCATCAAGCGGGCCACAGACGTGATGATTGTGGGCAAGGGCTGTGCCCAGGCCCTCAGGGGTTTCGGGGCGCGTGTCATCATCACTGAGATCGACCCCATCAACGCGCTGCAGGCCGCCATGGAGGGCTACGAGGTCACCACCATGGACGAGGCCTGTCAGGAGGGCAACATCTTTGTCACCACCACGGGCTGTGTCGACATCATCCTTGGCCGGCATTTTGAGCAGATGAAGGACGATGCCGTTGTGTGTAACATCGGACACTTTGACGTGGAGATTGATGTCAAGTGGCTGAACGAGAACTCGGTGGAGAAGGTGAACGTAATACCTCAGGTGGACCGCTACCGGCTGAAGAACGGGCGCCGCATCATCCTCCTGGCTGAGGGCCGGCTGGTCAACTTGGGCTGCGCCGTGGGCCACCCCAGCTTCGTGATGAGCAACTCCTTCACCAACCAGGTGCTGGCGCAGATAGAACTGTGGACCCACCCGGACAAGTACCCCGTTGGAGTCCACTTCCTGCCCAAGAAGCTGGATGAGGCAGTGGCTGAAGCCCACCTCGGGAAGCTGAACGTGAAGCTGACCAAGCTGACGGGGAAGCAGGCCCAGTACCTGGGCATGCCGGTGGACGGCCCCTTCAAACCCGCTCACTACCGTTACTGACAGCCCCGCCTGCCCCTCACCTGCCAGCTGGTGTCCCTGCCCAGGCCCCCATTCTCCCCAAGAACACACGGCACTAATTTGACTGGCTTGACATTGGCTCCCGCTTTGTCCCCTCAGACGGTCCCGGTGTGGCAAGGGGTATTGAGAAACCCCTCTGAAGATTCTGGTCCTGATGGAGGGAGGTGTGTGGGAGACCCCCCAGGGAGCCATGACCTGCTCGCTTAGTCTTTAGGCTGGAGTTGGCAACAGTGGTCAAGCCCAGGCACGTTAACATCTAGTCCTCACCTGGTCTTAGGGACCCAGGTCACGTGCTTGGTGTACAGCTAACTGGTTCCTGGGCCCGTGACGGATGACGGGAAAGCTCAAAAGGGCAGCAGGGCGCTGTGCAAGTGTGAATGCTCCTAGGCCCCTAGCTGAGTGATGGACGCTCGTCAGCTTCAGAACAGTGAGGTCGGTACTACCTGTCCCTATTTTACAGGAGTTAATAGAATTGTCAGGGACAGCCAAGAGAAGTGACATCGATAGTTTGGGAGGGACCAGAAAAAAAACATGAGAAGAGGTGTCAGTCTGCCCCTACATTGGTAATATGCTGGCTCCTGTCACAACTCTGGGTCAAAAAAGGTTAATTTTGTTTACAATGTGTTAAAAGAGGGCAGGAAGGTGGGCTAATAATAAAAAATTTGGTGCCTAAAAAAAAAAAAAAAAGAAAAGTATTTTATGTGGGATTTTGAACATATTGGTTGCTAGGTTACTGGTTTTACAACCAGTTAAAGCTTGAAAGTCCAGTAGATTCCAGTCCTTTGTATTGTAAAAATATTATCTTTAAGTATATGTATTTATAATATATTATATTTAAATTTTTAAGTATATTATAATATATAAATGTAAATGATATGTTTCTTTAATCCCTTCAGAACAATAAAATTGGATATAACTAAATTCTAAAACTAATTTTCTATAATCATGTAGTGTTTATGGCTCTTTAGCTAGTACCAAGTAAATATAACATTGACCAAACACTGGAATTTTAGAAAATGTCCCATTTATTGTAGAACAGAACTCAAAATCATAAAAGAGACTAGGCTTAACTGGTTGGATACAGTGGTAGAACCCCCAAGACAAAGACCGTACAGGTCTGGAACTGAGTAGCTAACCATTTAAGTTCAAAAGAACAGCATTTACCCAATGACAAAATTTAAGAGGATTGGGAAAGAAAGAGGAATGGAAATAGGAAAACACAGGCAGGAAGTGGAATAAGTGATGGTACATTGAAGGAATTGAAAGGGATGAGTTGAAGAAAGTGTGTGTGAGTTGTTTAATGTAAAATTGATGAACTGTTCTTTAAATCTTCATTCAATTTACAATAAATAGGTTTAGCTTAATTTGCACTTGTTAAAGAATAAAAACTGCTATATTTAACACATAGCCTCACCTAAACTAGGTGTCTAATATTAGATTCAAATACACCCTGCATGATCTTAGTCAAATAATTTCAGAGACTGTTTCCTGTCTACATGGTGCAGATATGCCAGTATTTTACCTCATAGAGTTGTTAAGATTAAGCAGAATGTACATGAAATCACCCCAGCTGTAGTATAAACATTTCATTTGTATACATTCATTTTACGCACCCTTAAGGTGAACATAATAGGTGAACTCTGAGCTTTCAGTGGATTGTCTGTTTTTTTTCTATCTTAAACTTTGCTCTATTACATAACAGTTCCAAAATCACTTTTTTCATATAAGTTGTTTCATTATCCATTTTATAGTAAATGTTTTATAGAAATTATCTGTTCTTAACATTCCTATGAGGTCTTATCTCCTTTCTACAGATCACAAAAATGAGATGTTGTACCTTGACAAGCATCATACAGTTAATAATTAATATAACTAAAGGATTCTGAGACCAACCAAGTTGATTATCTTTTCTTCTACATCATCCCTACTTCAGAGTAGATAATCATTTATATCAGACTAATTTGTGCCATTTGGAAATTCTTCCTGGAGTTGGATAGAGTTTAATAAGAGCTCCTAAGGTCCCTGCGTGGCATAGGCAGTTTGTGGTTGGCTGCTAATTGAAAGGTTGGTGTTCAAACCTGCCAGCTGCTCCATGGGAGAAATACGCGCAGAAATACCTTTCATAAAGATTCCAGCATTGGACAGCGTCTAGTGGTTTCTCGTTGGGCTGCTAACTGCAAGGTCAGCAGTATCAAACCACCAGCAGGGGAAGGATGAGGCTTTCTAACCCTATGAAGAGGTTCAGGCTCAGAGACTCACTAGGGCAGTTCTACCCTGTCCTGTAGGGTCACTAAAGTCAACGTTGACTTGATGGCAGTGGAAGTGGTGCCCCAGGGGATTGATTGATAATGTTCTATAACATAAAATGACAGTGATTTCTCTAAGGTGAACCAGAAACATATATATAAACCATATATTCATGAATGGATTTGGAGCTTGCACTTAATTCTACCCCCAATCTGAGAACAATTAGTTCTTATGACAGGGCCCTGCTTGATGCTCGACCTCAGGAAAGATCACTGAAGATGATATGGGTGCTGTATCAAAGTGTGGTGAAGAAACTAGATGGTGCCTCGCTATCAGAAAGAATAGTGTCTGTGGTCTTAAAGGTTTGTCTTCAAACAAGCAGCCATCTAAGTCACTTGGAAGAAGCACGTCAGCCTGTGTGATCCAAGGATTATAAATAATTTAAAACACCTGGTTTTCAGAAGGTTGTGGATGACAGTGGAAGCCTAGAAGCCATTTGCAGAGTCCACACATGAATTTAGTCTATGGCGAATCCCCTCCAATCATAGTTGAGGGGTGTGAATAACCTTGTTATCAGAAAGAGAGCACTGTAAAGTTGATTCTGGGAGGCATAGTTAGCTCAAAATGTAATATCATTTTATGTCCCTTTAGACACATTTTAAACCTTTTTCAATTAAAATTTAAAAGGTGAAGGGGAAATAACATGTAGATTATGGTGAGTCCCTTCTAGCCATGGACCAGGAATGTAAATTGTCTTGCTAACATGCAGAAGGCATTTGAAAATGGATTGTGGGAAATGCAGTCAGGTTAAAATTTAGCACTTTATCATTTGATATTCCTTATGACTCGTTTAATTTGTTCTAGTTTTTAATAGTTTCTGCTTTATTTTTGATTGAGGATTTTATGTTTTACTTTATTATTCTTGTTGGGTTTGGGTTGGTGTTTGTTTTGAATGTTTTTCTGTATAGGAAATCTGGGATAGGTAAATCTGTAGAGACAGTAACTGGATTAATGGTCCCTTGCAAGTATGGTAGAGGAGGTTGGGGCGATATGGGTACAATGAATATAAGAAGAAAATGTTCTTAAAACTGATAGGTGAATTAATTATATGCCAATAAAACTGTTAGGAAAATAAATAAAACTGTTAGGAAAAAAAAAAACTCCCAGGCTGGTTGGGAGAAGATTACAGCATTAGAAACCCTATTAGTAATTCAGAATTGCTAGTACACAACAGCAGCATTATCTTAGACTACATTATTTATATCATCATTAGAAATATATATGCAGGCATACTACATATTGCTAATCGTAAACAAATAAAAATATGTTTGAAATATCCTTTTAAATCTAAAGTCTATTTAATATGCAATACAACAAGAATAATATACTAAAATCTAAGTATTGTGCCTTAATGTGTTTCTCTGAACTTTTTTTTTATAAACCAAGGCTTATCGATTAGAACCATTAATACTGAAACACTACAGCAACATCTCACCTGTCCAGATTCACTGGTACAATACTTCAAATCCTCTACCTTATGAGCATATGAAGCCTAGCTTTCTCAACCCAGCAAAAGAACCTACCTCAGTTTCAGAGAATGAAAGCATCTCAACTATACCAAGCCCAGTGACCTCACCAGTCCTCTCCCGCCGACACTATGGGGAATCCATAACGAATATCGGCAAAGCAAGCATATTAGGTAATTTCTCTTAATTTATCTGTGAATACAGGCACTTTTATATAGGCATTAAATTTGGAGGACTTTGTAGTTCTCTGACTTGTAATGGTTTACTCCTGTTTCTAGAATTAACTACTCACTTAATATTTATATTTGAGGACTGAAAACTTGAATGTTCTCTTACTAGATCATATCCTATCATTTAAGGATATGAGACCGCAGGATGGACAAGAAAAAACACTGGTATTAAAGTTAGGTCCCCCATTTTAATCCCGGTTCTCATAGGGCTTTTAATGTTCCACTTTTTCTCATCTGTAAAATAAGGGAGTACTTGAGTTCTAAGGGTGTCCTTCCAAATGAATTCTGAGCCGTTCTGAAAATCTCTACAACTGTGTGCTGCTTGAGTGTACCAAGGCTATTTCATGTCTCTTGGGATGAACTTCAGTTCCAGCACAGAGTTTGGGATGTCCTTGGAGCTCAACTATGTGCCACAGTACTTTGGGTTACCACTTGCTTTAATATAAAATGCCACAAGATGGCACTATAAATGGGCTTTGTCTGTTGGATCAGTTTGATATTTCGTTTTGTCATACGTTATTTATTGATTACTTTTAAAATAATATATCCATTTCAGTAATAAACCTATCAATAGTAAACATATACTCATGTCAGTGGCATGGTTCCTTTATTAAACGCTTGGATCTTGCCAAATGTTTTCATAAACAATGATCACTCATTCGAATCTTTATTCCTTTCTTTATAACATTTATTCCTAGAGTCTGCCCAACTTTCCTTCTATTTGACACCATTTTAAAAGTTTCTTAAGACCTATGTTCCTGTCCTGGAAAAGCATGGCTATAACTTAGTTCTTCTGAAAATTGGCTAAAATTATGGGTGGTGTTTTTCAATCTTGGCATGTGGTGTTAAAATTCCAACAGAATGATGTTCCTGTTTTGTTAAACACAGGGGCTGCTAGCATTGGAAAGGGACTGGGAGGTATGTTATTCTCAAGATTTGGACGTTCATCTACACAATCACCTGAGACATCCAAAGACTTAATAGAAGAAGAGAAGAAGCCAGCTACCTCCCCTCCGACTACAACTGTGGCAACACAGACCCTTCCGCACAGCAGCTCTGGCTTCCTTGATTCTGCATGTTAGTCCATTCTGTTCCTTCCTTAAGCTGATACCATGTCTGTCTAAAACTTGAGGACAGGGAGGGCTAAAGTCTTCATTTGAATTTAAAGTATACATTAAGCTCTCTAAAAATTTCTGCTTATATTTTTAATAAAAAATCCCAGGTAGATTCAGTTTCAAGTTTTGTATGGGTGACTTTAATAGTTAAGAACATCAATAATCAGGACCTTGTGGCAGGGGTCTTAAACATCAACCATGAACTAAATTTCTTAGGATGCACTCATCTGATTATGTAAAGTTTTTTTGTATTTTTATGTTTTTGATAAGATCTTCTCCATCTTAACATTTTTGAAGCTACAATTGCTTAAAATTTATGCTGTGTAGACGTAGACTTGAAGCGAAGGGGGACCTGCTGGGCTTTGCCAAAGCTATCGTACTCCTAATCCCACAGTTCCCTTTACTCATCTTAACTAGAAGACCTTTAAAGCTTAAGTTGAATTCATTGTATGGCTTTCGATCCTATTTCATCTACCTAAGAGAAAGTCATTTTTCAAGAAATGTATAGTCAGTTAATAGAGAGGAGTTGAGGTCTTCATAGTTATGTTGAATTTAAGCATGTGAATGGACCTTTTTCAGTAGACTTTCAAAGTTTAAAATTTTGTATAGTTGTGAAACACTAATACTCAGTGTATGTCCGTGTATGTATGTGTGTGTATATTTATGTATGTGTTTGTGTGTGTGTATCTCCAAGGATCTAAACATAAACATTATCATCAAGTTCCCAGTAAAATAAAATTAATAAATCAAGTCCTGCTTTTCCATTGACCTATATAAGGAAATGTAGATTCTGTGACAACAGCGAGGGAAACTTTGCTTTCTTCATAAATTTTTGAGAAAATTTCATAAACTTGTGCCCTTATTTTCTTACTGTGTCTGCTACTTTAAATTTTAAAATGACTGTTATCCATTGCCATCCATAAAACTTGCTTTAAAAAGGAAGTAAGCTTAGATGTGATGATCCGAGAGGCTGAATTATGGCTCTACAGTCAACCTCACTCTAGTATTAATTATTAAGAGTTGGCTGTTCCTATTTAGGCCAACAGCATTTTCAACTTAATCCTTTCTATGTTGTATTCTGAGAATTGAAAATTTTATTGCTGCAAGTCTTTTGAACACTGAAAAAATTCTCTAAAAGGCTCTTGTGTTAAAAAAAAAAAGTTTTTCACATTTTGTTTTCTTCAGTCCCTATTCTATTGCTCACTTAAATTCTCATGTTTACTTAACATTAGAAATATGATTTTTATAATTTTGCTGATACATGCAGAAGTCAAAAGAAAACTCTAAACTTCTGCAGAGGATTATGCCCAAAGAATTTTGCCAGATAAAAGCTGTAATTCCTTTTATTATTGTCAGTGCTGGTAAGCATTCAGGTAAATGAAGAAGCAATGATCAGATTTTAGTCCCAGAGAAAGGATAATGAAGACATTAATATAAATCCACAGGCTTTGAAGAAAGAAAAACAGCTAAATATTTAATATTTTAACCTAGAATTTCAAAATAATAGAGGAATCGCTTAATTTCTTTTGTAGAGATATCTAATTGTATTATATTTTGATAGCTTAACAAAATACATTTTGTCATCCTCCTATATATAATCTTTTCTGTTCCTGGTGGTAAATTCCTCATCAGCTGTATAGATTCAACTTAATAATGAGCTAATCACATGTCTTATCTATCTCTAGTTGTCGGTAGGTGTTAACCATCAAAGTTGATCTACTGCAGTAGAATTCTGCCTTTTACATCTTTATGACTTGTTTCCGTAATCTGCCCTTCTCTGTAATACTGATTTAAGCAAATGTCCTATGTCATAATTTTTGGCTGTCTGACAAATCACGAAACCTTTCTTCCTTAAAATCTTTCCAGAATGTGGTCTTTGTGATTAAGTAATTCTGGCTTCCTTTCTTGTCTTTCTTCTCATACTCACTCACCTGGTTGCTTCAGCTCTTCAGTTATTCTGAAGCTCCGCTGTGACTCCCTCGATGGGTGAGGGTAAGATGGATAGACTGGATTCATAATCGGCCAGGGTTCGCTCTTTGAAGAGTGAGTGTTGTCAGTTGAAACTTACATCACTGCCATTAAATTGAAGCTTATGTAGTGTTCTTCACTTCTTTTAAGATGTTTAGAAAAGTTATTTTCGGTGGTTTTATTTTTTGTGACCCTCCTGTGTTTGTAACATGAAAAGAAAAAAAGTCTGTTCTTTTAATGTGGTTTTGCCTCTAGGTTAAAACCTAAATGAATATACATTTTGGGAATGTCTGGCTGTTTACAGATTGTGACAGTGTATTTCAAAGTTAATTATGCTTACATTTTCCATGAAAGAGCTCTTCATTGAAATCAAAGCTTGTACATCTTTATGTATATTAATTAGGTTTAATCAGCTTACTTGGGAGTACTAGTCTAACTTTTGGCCACTACATCATTGAAGGCCATTTTTAACCATCCTTTACAGCATCTTGTTTTTTTTTTCACAGATTTCAGACTTCAGGAATCGTTCTTTAATCTCCCACAACTGTTTTTTCCGGAAAATGTAATGCAGAATAAAGATAATAGCCTCGGTATGGTATATGTCAGGAATAGCATTCAGAATACCATGAACATTATCTACTTAGAATTCTGCTCATTGAAAAATTGGATCAATTCTTTTATGTAACCAACTTGGATGTTATCATTACAGACTATTTTATTTGTATTTTCTTCCATATTTTCTCATCTTTATTGGTAGTGATCCTGCCACCTGATTGTTGATTAGCCATTTCATGTGCAAAACTATGTAATATTCCAGTATGCTGACAGAAGGAGGGAACTTTTGGATAGGGTGTAAAAGCAGTAGGCCATTGTCTGCCTTTATTTCCATGAAGAGGTCAGAGAGGTTCAGTATTATACTCATGTAATATACTTAGATATAATACTTAAGTATACTTAGATATAAAAGGGTTTCATAAGTAAGAAGTTAACATCATTCTAGTTATTTCAGTAACATTACCACATAGGGTTTATACATATCCCGTAGCTACTATCTGATTTCAACACAAATACTTAGTGTACCTTAAGCACATATTTAATTTTTTATTACATTTTTGAAAGCAAAATATATTTTTACACATAATTTTCAGCAGATTCTAATTTATCACCAAGGATCAATTTTAACTATTTAACGTTCTCTTTATCACTAACTTCTTTTTCCACAGATGTTCTTTCCTTTCCCACCCCCCAGCCCCCACCCCCGCAAATACTGGATTTTGTCTTAGACAAAAATAATGATACAATTTTGGGAGGCGGCATTTTATCCAATTTTTTTATTTGATTGCTAGCTCTCATTTTTTCTATTAAAAATGCCCTTACTTTATATATGTATTCTAAAACAGTGTCTTAGTATAACAAACTAAGGGTTTTTCAGAGTTGTTTTGGGGCTTTGGTTCTGTTCTGTTTTTTGGTTCCATAGCAACAGTGTGTGTTGCTCTAACTCAGTAAATTCCCCTCCAGGAATGATCTTATGTAATTGCCCTCTCTAGTCCCTGCCCATGTAATAACTAGGCACGTCCATAAAAAAATAATTTAATTTTGTGATTTATATTTTTAGAAGGGAAAAGGAAGATTAATCCACTCATATAATTGTCCTTCAATTCATTTTAGCAATTGACCGTATATTCACTATGTCAGAACCATCCCAACTACCTAAGCAGTTAGATGACTAATAACTACACCAAAGTGAATCAGGTGGCAGTATGCATATAACTTCTGTTTTCCTCTTCTCTTTTCAGTCATTCACCAATTGTACAGTGTTTACCGTGATCATAGATACCATGCTTAGTCCTCGAAAAGACAAAAGATGAAATAGATTTTAATATTGCCCATAAAGATACTAAATATGAATAATGGAAATGAGTATTTTCAGAGGGCATGCATTCTAGTAGGGACTGTAGACAACTATGTAATCATATGGTAGACTATGAAAGTCCATTAGAACAGTACAGATAAATGACTCTATTCTAAAACATGAGAAACTGCTTTCCTCTAGGGAAGTCATAAAAGGTTATGTGGAAGAAGTAGAATTTGGGCATGAAGAAATGAAAAGACATTGTCGGGAGAAGAAACGGCAGAAACAAAAAGCACAGTGGTGGGAAACAGAGTATGTAGAGACACAGAAGTTCAATTTATTAAGAAGAACCAAGAATGAGTAAAAAGAAGTAGTTCTGAATAAAACTGACAGTTGCCTAAGCCAGATTGTGGAGGGAGGAGCCAACAAATCTGGCCACCTCTGGGGTTTCTTGTCTTCAAGATTGACCTCAAAAGCTCATGTTTCCCCATTCCCTAAGTGTAGCCTTATGTTCAGTGTTTGAATGTTGTTCAGGGTAAATTGAAACACTAGGGGAAGGGAGATAGTGGTCAGTGTAAGATATGAAGTTAATAATAATTTATAATTTATCAAGGGGGGAGGGAGGTAAAAAGAGGAGCTGATATCAAGGACTCAAATAGAATGTAACTGTTTAGAAAATTATGGCAACGTATGTACAAATATGCTTGATACAATTTATGTATGGATTGTTAGAAGAGCTCTAAGAGCTCCCAATAAAATGATCTTCTTAAAAAATAAAAAGATCTCACAGCACTTATGGAATTACCTGGGCATGTAGAACTTTATTCTCGGGATTTCTGTGATGTCTTTGAAAGAGAGATGATGAGACACTGGCCGAACCAGTATCATCCATTTTACCAGAAAAACTAACGCGATGTAAGGTCAACTACACTGACAACCAGGCTGCCCGGGGTCAACTTTTAAGAGGAAGAGGGTAAACTAAAACAAACTCATCATGTACAAGCTGCTATTTAATTCCCGTTTTGATGAGGACAGCCAGAAGATAATAGAGAAATGAGAGCGCTAATCAAATTAAAGCCCCTAACGGTTTTAAGAAAGACAAGGACTCAATACAAGAGGACAGTACATTTAACTATTATGTGAAAGACAGGTTTGCATCACAGTCACAGCATACTAAGAATAATAAATTTCAGGGACATAAAATCAAAGTGGAGTCAAATAACCTGTTTCCGGAAAGAAACTTTTCTTTGCTTTAAGTCAGAATGGTTCAACCCGAGATTGTTGGACGAGGATGGCCTTATGCAGGGGCGTCTGAAAGTGCATTCTTAAAGAACTAACTTGGTGGTCTTCACTTGTGCTAATGCGTGTGATGCTCATCTCTTCTGTTTCTCCTCAATCCTGCTTCTTTATAACTGACTTCATCTTGCCTCTTCTTCATGGTGCTTCAGAATTCCAGCTTCCTCTTCTTTCTTCATCTCCTCATCTGTTGAACCAGAAGATAGACCTACAAATCTAACACAAATGTGCACCATGCAAAAAAGATTTGGACATTACTCCGCAGGTCCTTTTAATGATTTAAGTTTTTTGACCTGTTAACAGGTTAATTTATTGTTATTTAAACAAGAAGAAACGTAGGGGGTTTTTTGTGTTTATTTTTATTAAAACCTCACTATATTTTAGAAGTGGTTATAGCCTAATTAATATTTATTTATTAAGTATAAACTGTTAAGTTTAAACCTCTAGAAATGTATAAATACATCTATGAACATTCCTTTTCAGAACTGCATAATTGAAAAATGACAATAAGCATTCTTAAAAATCAATGACATTTTCACAAATTAGCTGTCTAATGAGCATTTATATGCCTGCATTCCCTAGAGTATATTCATGCGTGATTACCAAATTCTCAGTGTGAGGCAAAGTCCAACTTTTTCTCCAACCCCTTTTGTAATTTTGCCAACTTTTACTTTTAACATCTTTGGCACTCTAAACAAAAAGCAGATTTTAAAGTGTCTGAGTGGTTTTGAGTGTTTTTGTTCTGTTTTATTTTCAAGATCAACCTTCCAAAACATTGACAGTTCTAAAAGCTTTCCTGAACATCAGATGACCGTTTTTGAGTGTCTATTGCTAAGGATTTCTTCTAAGAGACCATCGAGGCTCTTGTATCACCTTAATGTGCTAAAGGAATCTTTTCCTACAGGGATGGCCAGGACTTTCTGACTTTTAGAAAAGGTGACTGAATTCACTGAATGATTCGAGGACAAGAGAGTTCCAAAGTCTTTACTTCCAAGAATCACTTCTCTTTCTCTCTGTTTAACTCTCCTGGCCACTCAGTGGAATCTTCTTTTATTAAAGAGACATTTGTTGAGTACTTGTATGTTCCAAGCACAAGGGTAGGCACTGTTAATGGGATGGAGACTAAGGAGTGTGGTGGCTGCCTTTGAGGAATTTAGCCTGATGGGTAAAAACCATTCTATGACTATAAAAGGATGGTCACACACACACATAGCCAGTTGCTAAGCAAAACCAGTTACCTTTAAGTCTGCTCCAGGTGACCCCACAGTGTCAGAGTAGAATTCTGCTCCATCGGGTTTTCAGTGGCAGATTTTTTCTTAGAAAAATCACCAGGCCAGGAGCTGATACCAAGGGCTCAAGTGGAGAGCAAATGTTTTGAGAATGATGATGGCAACAAATGTACAAATGTGCTTGACACAATGGATGTGTATGTGGATTGTAATAAGAGTTGTACAGGCCCTCAAGAAAATGATTTAAATTTTATAAATAAATAAATTGAGTGAATATAATAAAGGCTTTTGGAATGCTGGTGGGAAAAAAATCACCAGTCCTTTCTTTTAAAATGCTTCTGGGTAGACTTAAACGTCCAGCCTTTCAGTAAGCATCTGAGGTTGTTTGCACCACCCAGAGACTTACAGGGTCTTGCTGACTAAGGAGCTGTTGCGGATTCACTTGCACTCCCACAGCATTATTGTTCCAATCTTTGAGAGGATGTTTTCCTTATTTCTCACAAAGATAGAAATGATAAAGCTACTAGGGCAATCATTTCCATTACCTACATTGTTATTCCCTAGTAGGTCTGTGTAAAACCTGTCGTCGTAGAATCCATACTCACTTGTTGCACTTTTCTTTTCTTTTCAGTGGAACTGGATCACAGGGTTGATTTTGAACTCCGAGAAGGCCTGGTGGAGAGTCGCTACTGGTCAGCCGTCACATCGCACACTGCGTACTGGTCCTCCTTGGATGTTGCCCTCTTTCTCTTGACCTTCATGTACAAACATGAGCACGATAATGATGCAAAATCTGATTTAGAACCAATCTGAACCCTTGAAGGACATTATTGGCCCCAAACTGATTTTTTTTTCCTGTTAAATGTGTGTGTGTGTGTCAACACATGGAGATTTCAGGTTTAAGTATGTTTCAATTTTTGTTTAGAGCAAGAGATATTTAAAAGCACCTTATTTTATTTAAAGAAGAAAAAACATTCTCAGACCCAAAGGAGTTATTTATGGATTTAATCGTTTTGATTATGAATCTGATAAAACCCTCTACAGAGCATCAAGCAAGACCTGGAACTGAGGAAGGTTTGGGTGAACTGGTTGTAAAAGATTATAAATCACGGTCTAATTTCTCCCAGATAGAGAAGTATACTAATAGGTTGGAGCTAATGTATTAACTGAAATATGTTATAAATCTCAAATGGTGAAGATCATGAGGTGATATGATTATAGATTTCTATAAAAGCCTCCATTTCCACTATTTCTTTGAAGAAACTAACAGATTTAAAATGTCTTGAATTTAACTTTAGAAAACCTAATGCTGAAAAAGAAACAATATTGGAACTCTACTGTATTTATAATGTATTACCTCTGACTAATTGTTTCTTCCAGTGTATGAAAAATTGCATATTTTTTACCATTTCCTTTTAACATAATTTAAGAACAACATTTATTTTCTATGTTGTTAAGACCCTTTTTTTCTTAAAACTCTATCTTTGTACTCTTCAGATGAATATATAGACACTGTGGCATACTTCCAGTATTTTTTTTCCATTAAACATATGGTTTTGCATAATAACAGGCTCAGTTATTAAAACAAAAAACATTTTATTTCACATTTATGTACCTCAGAGAAACCTAAAGTTTGCTAGACTTGACATAGACTACACCATAAAGGATATATTTAATTACTTTTATTGAAAAATTAGTGAACAACTTTGGCAGTATGGAGTGTGACAACTATTTTAAATACATAAATATTTCTGTGCCAAACAGTTAACCGCATGAAGGGCTGGAGTGCCACTAACATTTGATTGTCACAGTGTTTAGGAAGGCATGATCAACACATACAGCACAGGCAGTCAGGTTTCTGAGGGATTTCCCTCTGCTGTGAAAGTTTCCACAGTGCTTTTTCATCTGAGGAGCTCAAAGTGCTTTACAAAGTATACATTCAGTAATCTTTGTCGTAGCTCCAGGAGGTAAGTAAATGAGTGTTATTCTCATCACATGTTAATAGACTAAGGCACCGAACATTTAAAGTGCCTTGAATTAGCTTACATAGCAAATCTGGTGACTGATAATTCACATATTACCTCTTAGAGGTTTGCACAGAGTAATAGTAATAGAAGTCGCAATCCACAGTTTAGGATAATGGCTGTAAAACCAACATTTTACCATATTTGTCTTACACATTCTTGAGCTGTCAAACACAAAGAGATGGTTGGAGGGAATTAGTAGGCATCTCTCAGTGGTCCCACTAGGGTCCCTTTAAGGTGCTGTCTTTGCTCACCTTGCAAAGACTCTCCGAGCTCTCCTATGACCACTGTCAAACTGGAGCAAAGCCGATTAGTTGCACATCATACTTACTCCTTTCTTTATAAGAAAGTAGGGTCTTTGACTGACTTTTGGTTTTCTTCTGCACCATCAGTATTCTTTTCGGTCTTGGCCTTTAATTGAATTTGCACAAACTATAACGCTTCTTTTTAGTATTTAAAATTTTCTTAAGCTTTCATGACCGAGTATGTGACTCACTAAGGAACCCTTTCTATAAAAGGCGTGTCATAAGATCTTAGAATCTTGATTTCAAATGTAGAGATTTCTATGAACTCAGGTCATTTTCATAGCTTGTTTATTTCATAGGTCTAAATCCTTAGGAAAATTACTTGTGTCATTTGACTCATCACTTAAAGGGCTTGAGCGTATGTTACTGCGGGTAGTGTGACAGTCAGATGCCTAAAAGCTTTGTGGGACTCATCCTTAACCACTGGAATGTGAAGAACCCTGTTTACCTGAGAAGAGAAAAAGCCTATCACACTATTCAGTTTGATATTATTGAATAAAAATTAGGTTCTCAGAGCCATGGGAATAATGTATGTTTCCTTTTATTTTTCCAATGAGAAAACAAAGTCAAATTTAATCTCTCTCAGTTCATTTGAATTATGGAAAAAGGCATCATTTCAAACTCTGTTTTCAAAATGAGACCGCCTGGGCTAAACAGGTGTCTTGTTTTCTTTTTGTTGTTGTTATTTTATTTTTTATTTTTTTTGGCGTCTTGTTTCCAATACATTATTTTACAAATCGGAAAAGTGGTTTTGATTTTATAGTACTCTTGTTTCCATGTCTGCCGCATGTTATCATGGGATGTACTTGTATATACTCAAGTAATACACACAGTATGTGTAATTCTGGCTTGATTTAGAAGCTAAGTCAGTTACTGAGTAACATCTTGCAACTTTATTCTAGTAAGTACTAAATTTGGCCAAAAAGTTTTATTTTTTATACTATTAAAATGTTATTCTCCATTTTGTGTACATGCTATGATGATTCTCCTGAGTACTGTTTTAAGCCATTTGGTTCCCAACAGTTACCAAAGATTAGAATATGGAGAATGCCTTTGAGTTAAATCTTCATATTTTTTTACTTTAAAATTAACCTTTACTATGGAAAGATCCCTGGTGGTACTTAAGGTTAGATGTTGAGCTGATAACTGAAAGGTTGGTGGTTCAAACCCACCAGCCACTACATAGAAGAAAAATTATGCTGTCTGTTCCCTTAAAGATTTAGTCTCAAAAACCCTGTATAGGGTCACTATGAGTTGAAATTGACTTCACAGCATTGGATGGCAGGCCTTTTATTGAGCCCTGGTGACACAGTGGTTAAGCACTTAGCTGCTAAGCCCAAAGGTCAGCAGTTTGAACCTACCCACCGGTCCATGGGAGAAAGGTATGGCAGTCTGCTTCCTTAAAGATTCTTAAACTCCAAAAAATTCCGTGCCATCGAGTGTTCCAACTCACAGCGACCCTCTAGGACAGGGCAGAACTGCCACTGTGAGTTTCTCAGGCTGTGACTCATATGGGAGTAGAAAGCCTTGTCTGCCTCTCCACATCCTTGGAATCCCTGTGGGAGATTCTATTCAGTCCTATAGGGTTGCTGTGGGTCAGAATTGACTGCACATCAACAGGTTTTGTTCGGATGGTTTTTGTTTTGTTTTTAGAGCCTTTTATTTATTTTTCAGTAGTAATTGCACATGTTTCCCAGTGTTGTCATTTAGACTATAATTACAAAACATACAGGTTTTCCAAGCACCTACTCTCTTATATATGAAACAAGCCTTAGGAACCTCACACGTGTTCCTACTTCCTATTAAATAACATCTGTTCACTTTTTAAACCCTTACACTGAATGTGTTCTACAGAAGCCCTCAGACAGTGCCATGTAAGCATTAATCCTCAGTCTCCTCCTCAATGACTCCTCATGGAACTGCTGAAGCACCTGTTTACATTGAGTCTAATCGCCCCTCTCAGGCAGAAGGGAAATTAATATCTGTGGGGTGTCCCAGCTAACCATGCCTGTGATAACGGTAGCACCTCAACTGCATGCAGTGGACGCCGAGCACCAGCAGACAGTTTACTGCAAACGTCCGTAGTGGACAAAGAAAAAAGTAACGTACCGTGTCGGACAACATCCGATCACGTAGACTCCATGACTGTGGTTCCAATACTCATAAAGCCTATTAAGAATTCAAGGTACATACAATACTTCATAATAAAAAGTACTACTCTGCAAAGGGCATCAAAACATGACTGTGATTTTTGTTCAATCTGGTGTAGTGTATCTGGAAGTGTTTCCTTAGTGTTTTTATGCATAGTGTTTTTTGACAACTGATACTAGATACAAACTATACTTACTTGTAAAAATTCAACTGAAAGACAAATTTAGTGGAACTCGCTTGTAATCTGGGACTGCCTGTATATGATCTGCTATTTGTACAACATCCAAATCACCTAACATCCCATAGAATGTATATCGGACACCAAGCAACGCCTGACTATGACTGTATTTCTTTCTGATTAATTAGCTTGGTTAGTGTTGTCTTCTCAGTTATAATGAATAAGGCATTTGACAAGTGAGAAAACAAGTATGAATGAATATCTTTGAATTGTTTTAGAATAGTCTTGTTAGAAGTGAGGCTAACAAAGCTACTAAAGCCAAGGTCAAAGCAAAGAAAAAGGACATAGTAATTATATACTGGAAAGGAAAACTAGAATTTGACTAAGCTATCTGAATGTTAGATAGTTGACTTCTGTGATTAGCCTTAAGTTTTCCATCTCCGCCAGTTTCTGCTGTCATTTCTGGGCCCTGAAGCCTACCAGCAATCCTATTATGACTCTTTCCTCAATAGACAGAAACCCAATGGTTCTCTGGCTGAAACTGGAACACATGCATTAAATATTTATGGCTAGGTGTGGATGATACAGATAGCTTCTAACATTTTAGAATAGCTACATTAAAAAAAAACTTTTACTAACAAATAACAAATTTGATAGGAAGCACTTCCACTGCATACTGAGCTCTGTGGAGTCTGGGAAGCCGATACAACCCAACCTGTCTCCCTACATTTCCCCTTTGGGTTAGTCAAGAGGAAAGGGAAATATTGAAGATGTTGAGCCGAGCAGTATATAGAATAGGAGCACATAGAATTTCATATCAAAGGTTCATTTGGTGAGACTTCATCTCACATACTTTGGAGAGCCAAAAAACACCTTCAACAAGATGGATTAGCACAGAGATACAGCAATGAGTTCAAACATAGCTCTGATGGTGACGGCGATACACAACTAGGCAATGCTTCTGTTGAATATGAGGTCACTGAGCCGGAGCCAACAAGGAGCTGATATTGACAGCCTGCCTCAAGCAGCTTGCTGATGATGCTTCAGTTAATGCTTGTAATTTTCAAAAGAAAATCTTAAAATTTCAGGATTTGCATGGATGTTAGAGGAGGTGATGCCTACAATTAGGCACTTGGCCAGCCAAGTGGCAATTGGAAGCCACCCAAAAGCACCCCAGAGGACAGACCTAGTGACTGCTTCCAAAGGTCACAACCTTTCAAGGAACCTGATGGAGCAGTTCTAATCTGCACACATGGAGCTGTGATGAACGAAAATCACATACTGTGGTTTCATGTAATGGTTTATATAGCAAGAAAAGTAGAAGAAAACGTTTTGGCTCAGCCCCAAAATTCGATGAGCACACCAAAGCAAAGAAGGAAAGTGGTAGAGTCTTGAAGGAAAAATGCCATTAGCAAAACTAGAATTTTAAATCTGAAAGGGATGTAGAGATCATTTTCCAAAGCATATTTTCCAGGTGTTAACGGGTGTATTGTAAGCTGGGAAGTGCCAAAATAAAAGGACTTCTTTATAGTGGGACTTAGGGAGCTTTGATAGACTACATGCATTGTGAAGTAAAGAATTAGGGGAAGTCACTTTGGTATGGAAGGCACTGAGTGGGTGGGGGGTTAGGTAGGCTGCTAGCCCCCAAGTTAGCAGTTCGAAGCCACCAGGCATTCCACAGGAGGAAGATGAGCTCTGCTCCCATAAAGATTTACAGGTTCGTAAACCCACTGGGCAGTTCTGTGTCCTAGAAGGTTACTATAAGTAGGACTTGACTCACTGGCAGTGAGTCTTGGTTTGGGTATATGGCATAAATTTTTCCAAATTTAATTAATGAGACTTAATTGCAGCACTGCCTGTGACTTATGAATATACTTGAAGGAATGTTGATCCAGATTCATTTCTCTCATTTTACAGAGTTAAACCCCCTCATGAGAATACTTCATTTTTGCAAGTGAACACCCACTATTTGGCCACCATTGACAGCCAGAATTAGAACCTCGTCCCCTGATTCTCAGCTGTGTGTTATACCACTGCTTTTTTTCCTCTACTAAAATAAAAGAACTACAGGGCAGACATTACCCCCTCACCATTTTGTTGTTTTGTGCTTCTCTCTTTCCCCCTACGTTTGTAACTTGATGCTTTGCAGCAATCTCTTGACAAATGTGTAATAAGCTTGGTTTCTCGCGGTCTCTTCCTTTGTTCCCAGATCCTCATGAGAAAGGACCCTGCCCAGTCTGGATAGATTTCTTTTCCACGTCTCACATTCAAAATCACCAGGGAAAAGGGAAGACACCAGAGCAAAAAGAAAACACCCAGGAAAGATTTTGTTTTGCATTCTGAAAACAAGTGCAAACTTGGTAGGGAAACAAGTTGCAGTATTAAATGCTGAATATTCATTTTCATTTCTTTCCAAAATTGGCTTTCAATTCATGACAAGTAGGTCAGTTCTAAAATTGTTCCAACATAGGTTAACTGAAATTTTTTTTTAACTCAGTGACTATTCTGCTTGGAAACAGAGGATACCGTTTTTTTGCTGTTTGAGAGTGTGTGTGTGTGTGTGTGTGTGTGTGTGTGTGTGTGTGTTCCCCAAAAATAGTCTCTTGGCAGACTGTTAACATGAACTTTTCCTCTGTTTTGTGTTTGAGGAGAGATGGGAATGTGCTTACTATTGTCTGTTACCTTGTGGTTTTTCATTTATACATAGCGGAGTACAACTTGTTTCCTCCCCACCCTACAGTTGTCAGGATATGTTGGCAAATTGTTCTTGAGGAAGATTACATCTGGTCTTCCGTTGGACTCAGATGAAAAAACAAGTATGTGAATACTGTACCTTTCATGCTTTCTCCTGAAAGGCATGTCAAATATCTGTGCACATCACTCATTCCCTGGACTACACCGGTACTCACTACCATCTCTGCTTGATCTCTAAAAATACACATCATTGATTTCCTGTGAGCTTTGTCTAATCATGTTCTGGTTTTAAGAGTCACAATAAACCCTACTCTTGCAGTAAGAGTCTGGGGAGTTTGGGGCCTTTTGCTCTTGAGTCATGTCTCAGAAGCGGCTGGCTAGCACTGTCCCTCTCCTGAGGTCCTCAAATGGTATACTGTTTTCAGCTTCTAATCCCCTGCTCTGTATGTTCACTGTCCCTTACTACCAAATTCTGTCAGTAGCTGCACTTACAAGTCTTGAAAGGTGTCCTTTGTTTCCCTTTGCTACATCTCATTTTCAGTAGTCATGGCAAGTTGATTGCCTCAGAATCTCCAGCTTTACCAAAGCATTATTTCTGTTTTATATCTGCAGTAATCAGTTTGTATGGTAAAAGAAAACGTGTAATTTTGATTTGTAGCATTGTCCAGTTCTGAGTGTTAGTGGGAACTGTGTTGCATGCATATTTACTAGTTTGGAACATGTGAAAGGTAAATGTAGTGTTTTCTCCTAGAGCAGCGGTTCTCAACCTGTGGGTGGCAACCCCTTTGGGGGGTCAAACGACCCTTTCGCAGGGGTCGTCCCATTCGTATTAGTAGCAAAATTACAGTTATGAAGTAGCAATGAAAATAATATTATGATCAGGGGGGGTCACCACAACATGAACTGTATGAAAGGGTCGTGGCATAAGGAAGATTGAG